GCACTTGGGTATTACTTATCCATGTGTGTGTGCTCATCTTTTTAATAAGGCAATCTAGCAAAAAAACACATAGAAAAGAAGCATTTCCTTCATATAACAACTTCTAATATATGGAAAAGCCAGTACATTTTGGTAACAACACATCCATGTACATGTGTGCATGCAGTGCTCATCTTTTTAATGATGCAAGCTAGTGAAAAACCACATTAAAAAAGTAGTTCCTTATATAACAACTTCTAACATATAGAAAAGCCAGTGCATTTTGGGAACAATGTGTTCCAACAATGGCTTTTATGTCATGCTGCTTAGCAACAAAAGTATATAGGTTATACTTTTATGCTAAAATGAGTTCAAAATACACACACTGTCAATCTGATAACCCAAGCAAAGCTGGATACTTTTGCTAGTATATAATAATAACTTCTTATCTGAGTAAGCTATGTACTTAGAGAAAAACTAAAAATCAACCTAGCCATAAAGATTAGAATGCATTATTTCATCAGTTGAATACCCTAGCTATTTTGCTATTTTCAGCCATAAACCCAATAATACCTCGCAAGGTTTGACAAGCATATGAATTTTAGGCTAGTCCAGATATTTCTTCAAAGAAAAATGTTCAAGGATTGGTGATTACTCAGACAGGATGACCTAACAGCTTCTGATTATTATTTTTTGTTTTTTTAATAAATTCTAGATATTTATTAAAGTAATTCGTTATTATGTCAATATGCTAAAATTGACAACAAAAAAAGTTATTTTCAGTCAGTACAGTCTGACTTGCCTAGCACAAAACAATCAAATGAGAACATATCTTTTTAATTTGGAGTTATATGGTTATCTTAGTTATAAATGTTATTGGTTGATAATTGTATAAGTTATTTATGTTTGAGAATACTGGGTTTATGTTGTTCTTACAAAGCAAAATGAATTGTGATTGCCACTAGTAGTTTTGTGAATTAAATTTTTGATTCATCACTGAAAAATTTTAATTTCTTTAACATTTTTGATTTTAGTATACTTAGACTCTCAGAAAATAGACCCACTCCTGGAAATGGAGTTTATTTGGCTTTGGAGTTTAACTTCCAAGGATGCCATGTACCTTTCTCAGTTTCTGTGTCATCCAACAATGGACATTTATCAATGGAAATGGCACACATGTCGACAATGGTGTATTGTGAGGAGGTTGAACCCACTTCATCCACATGTACCAACCATAGCTCATTTTTTGACCTGGCTCTTTGACAAGGGTTTCCAATCTTCCACAATTGCTCTATATAAGGTGGCAATATTGGCTACCCTTAGGTACTTGAAGAGATGGAATTCTTTGAGAACTCAAGGCTCTTTGGCCTCCTCAAGTAGTTTTGGGTTCTTCATCCCAGATGACTGTTTCAGTTACCTAACTGGCATATAAAGGTGGTGTTACATGCTCTTTCTCAACATCTGTTTGAACCCTTAGCCTCATGTACCATGTATTTATCACCTTTCCCTTAAGGTTTATTTTTTGTGCACAGGACTTCTTCAGGTTGAGAAGAAGGTTTGTCCTCTTTGGTGTTGCTTACCTTCTCATTGTGATTCCAGTGGCGCAGAATGCATCACTCTATAGCTACAGGTTGGGATCCAAATGCCCTTGCCATCAACATGGGGCTTAGGGGCCATGTCCTTATAATTCCAATCCTGAGCAGTGGGACCTCCAATACCTGGTTGGGGGCCTGGCCAATGGGGATGATGGATCATGTCAAATTCCACCCACAGTGCATGATTTAGGTTACGAGTAAAGAGCATACCTGTTCTCCATGTAGTGCGGTTCTCCCACTAGGGTGCTATTTCTTTTGGCACACTCGTGATCTATGCAGAAACATTCTGTATGGATAATATCGTCACAGGCCTCTCTGCCTTATCACTGTGGGATTCCAGCTATAAGTGGCAGTGGAGATAAGTATGTTTTGGAAGTTAGCATTTTCTGAAATTGAAATTGTATTTCCAATAATACCTACCTCTCTCATACTCTCACACCCTTCCTCCCCCCTAAGTGATGGTGTTAGAGACTGCGAATTGGGTCAGTGTCAAAAAACTGACAATATTATCAGAAGGAGGTGCTTATATACAGTACCAGGATAAAGGGGCACACTGATGTAGGTGGAGAGTGTCACGAGACAGGTATCACCCAGGGCAATTAAGTGGGTAATAAAATACTGGAGCAAGCAAGAGAAAATCAGACCAATGCTTAGATGGGCAAAGGAAATGAAACCCTAACAGTCAAGTAATAGCTGTAGTGTGAGAGTAGGTAAGTATTATTGGAAATACATTTTCGATTTAAGAAAATGCTAACTTTCATTCTAGAGTTGCTTGAGGTATGCAGTGGTTTATTCTATACTCTGTTGACTTCATTTCCAGACAGAGGTTGTATACTGTTGCTTGGGGCACATGGCTTGCTTTTGCCACCGTCCTTTATGTTAACAGATTCTCACCTATTTCAAGATACCACATTTTCCTTATCATGATTAGGGTACAACTTGCTGTAGGTCTCCTTTTTAATATTGGTGGTGTATAGCACACATGGCTTGCTGATTTGCATATTAAAATTTATATTAATATTTTTTTTTTTTTAATGTACTCAACGTTCTATGTTTTTATTTTTCTTAAAAATATGTTTAAAATAGGACTTTGGAAAGGGGGAGTAAAAACTTTATAACAAAACTTGATAAGTTGGTAAGTATTCTTTGTAAAAACATAAGAAACCTATTTTGTTCCCAATTATACTGTGATTTTGTAAGTGGTTTAGGTATGAAAATTGGTTATTTTCCAAAGAAATTAGGCAGCAAAATCTACAAAAACCTATATTTACCTGGCCAGTGCATCTGTTAAAACATATTTTCATTTTACAGCCTGGTTGGGTTTATTTTAGCATATTTCTTCATAAAAATTACTTGCAAGGCCTGCATAATACTCCCACCAAAATTGAGCTATCACAACGGTCATGAAATGAAGTACTAAAGAGCACCATACATTATATTATCTATTGGGAAAACAAGGACAAATGGACGTTTTACAAATTTTTCATTTATTGTAATAAATACAAATTTGTGAAACATACGATTGTCCTTTTTTTCCTAAGTACCAACAGTTTGAAATAATAATAATATGTATGTAAAATGATGATGGTCTATTTTGGTTTATTTGAAGAATTAGATATTATTATATGTATACATGGATAAAACAAGCACAGAAACATGATGAAACATTAGAAGAAATGCCTACATAAAATGTTATTTTGATATCGAAATGTTATGTATAACCTAATTTATTTAGCTCCTCATGTCTAATATTATTTTGGAAAATAAAAAAAAACAAAAAAAACACATACTCTAATTAATTGCACAAATCCTTCACACTTTTGGTTTATGATTAAGTGTTGTTTCTCTAGATACTTATTGATTTATGTATTGCTATAAAGATGGGCTTCCTTTTTATATGCATTCAGTGTTTCTATACTTGCTTTAAACCATGATTTATATAACATTTTATCATTAGAAATTATTCAATCTGACATGAACAGACTTATACATAAAGATTTTATGTTTAATATGTGTAGTACATCAAAAAGTTTGTTACTGTAACAATTAATGTGCTTCTATACAAACATGCTATTGTAAGTAATATCTGGCAGTTCCATAGTGAAAGATGAAAACTTTGGAATTGTTAATGATGAAAAGTTTAAAATGTTCATCAGTGTACAGTACTATTTTCAGTAGTATACAAAAGTTAGTATTTTTAATATATGTTATTCTCACTTGAGAAACTGAGGATTATAAGTTATATTTGTCATTTTCAGGTGACATAATGGTGATGGATAAGAATGGTTATATATACTTTAAGGACAGAACAGGTGACACTTTCAGATGGAAAGGAGAAAATGTGTCAACAATGGAAGTGGAAAGTGCCATTAGCCAGGCTCTTAACCTAACAGACTGTGTGGTGTATGGTGTAGAAATACCAGGTAGGCAAACTTGCTGAAAAGTTGAGATTAGAAGTTTCTGTTAGACAAATTCTTAACTTTACTGGTTGTGCAGTGTATGTTTTAAAGACACCAGTTAGATAAATGCTGTCAGCCAAAATCCTGACCTCTCAAAGTGTGTGGTGTTTGATGTATAAATATCAAACAGGTTGATAAGATTGATGGAATTTTAGAATACAGTAATTGCATAGTTCATAAAGTTGAAAGTTTAGTTTGTTAATTCTGTATGTTACATAGTGTAGGTGGTTTATAATTGTGATTACCAATGGTGTTCAATTTGGAATATTGCTTAGTTTTAATAGTATTTTATATTAACCCTGCGTGCAAGGGTGGGGGTCAAAATACAAATGCCACAACCTTTCAAAAAGTGCCATTCAACATGGTATTATATATGTGATGTCAGAGTTCTTGCTATCAATTTTTTGCTATACTGCTGATTTAGCACAACAGTTTGTGACAGAGGAGAGCAAACACTAGATACAATATACAGGAATACTGAAAAACTGTAGATGTGCATTCTGGAGGTTCTAGAGGTTATTCAAATGGAATATTCAAACTGTATGATGGATAAGTATTTTTATTATTCATACAAATATCAACTTGCAATCCATTTTGTCAGAATCTGAGTCAGACTGACGTTGTCAATTCACAAACGTATCTTGAGTACTAATATATTTAAACAAAATTGAAACAAATAGATAGAGAATCAGTCTAATAACTATATCATTTCTTTTTCTTTCTATAGTATTAAAATAATTCTTGATTTTTAAACTGTTTTATGACTTAAGACTTTTGTGATCTGTGTTTGAAATATTTTATTACACACAAAACAAATCTTTAACTTTGTTTCACTTCTCTTAACTTCATTAGTACTTTAAGTAAGAGAATCAGGAATTTAGACTGTGTTTATTTTGGTACACATTATTAGAAGAATAATGAGATAATGACAACATTTAATATAAATTTGAGAAGCAAGATCTTTACAGTACCTAATTGCTAACATTAACACTACTGAAACATGCTAAAATGACCACAGAACCCAAAGCAGATTCATATTTTATAAATGATTTCATAACTGTTTAAGCGTAATGTGTTACGAAAAATTAATTTTACTTTCATTCAGATGGATCATTAAATTTTACTTTTAACTTCAGATGTTGAAATTGTAAAGTCTCATATTTATTGTTTGTTTTAGTGCAAAGTTATACAACTGGCTGTCTGCATTCTTTCCATTGTTGGGAATCAAACCCCATATTCTGGTGTTGCAAGTCTATAAACTTATCATATAGCCACCAAGGGGAATTCATTTTTATACTGTAACTTCAGACAGATAAAGCTTCCAAATTTATATGGTTATAATGTTGTTATTTCGTTTCGAATATTTATACAAAAACTGAAATGTGACCTCTTTTGCCTTTATATTTTAATTTTTAAAAGGTGTAATTGATGATTTATTGTAGGTGCTGAAGGGAGGGCTGGCATGGCTGCAATCATCGACACTGAACATAAAGTCAGTTTTGATACTTTAGCACAAAAGTTGAAGAAACTGCTTCCTACATATGCTATGCCAATATTTATTCGTATTGTTGACGAACTAGAAAGAACAGGTACTAATTTCATGGTCTTGATTTGTGCTTCTTTGCCTGTCTCATATGAGTTTTTTTTAAAGAAGTGTATGGTTTATAAGTATTTAACTTGACATAAACTAACTTTATACATACACATACATATATATATATATATTTATTTATTTATAAGAAACAGTAAAAGAAATTCATCTTATTCAGGAACAAAAAGTTTGAAATTAAAGTATTTATTTACTACTGTTTGGTTCCACCATGACTTGCTGCCTTATATTCACCACATTCAGATACAGTTTCTCCTTTTCATGGTCAGTCAGGTTACAATTAAAATGAATTTCCTCGTAACTAGGAAAATGGGCCCTAATTGTAAACACACATACAAACATATGTTGTTTGCTTAAAAGATTTTTGAAGTAAAAAATAGTACTCAATTATACTTGTCATTAGACATTAGTGATAGGCTTTTTGTGTTTTTCAACACAACATTATTTATTCATTTCATTAGTTTTTCAAAAAATACAGGTGTTCAAAAATACAATAGGCCTATAATGTCTTATGACAAGTATAATTAAATATAGTATACATCACCAGCTTAGAAAAAGCTTTCACACCATAACTATTGTTGTTGTTATAAATGGCTTATATATATAAAGTCACTACTTTGTTTATTGTGTCTTAGCTGGACTGATGATCTCTGTATCGAGTAAAATGCAATGTTGGCATGCTCAAAATATTATTATACACTTTTCTTTTTGAAAAACCCAAGTAGACTGATTAAAAGAATGTAGTCTTAAGAAATATAATAGTACTAATGTCATATGAGAATTATAATTAATTATAATATGCTTTGCCAGCTTAGAAAAGGCATTTACGTCATAAAAAAACATTACTTTGTGGATGATGAATTTTAAGTGGTAGAATTGGTCCAAACATTTGCTTTCTGATGATTATTCAATCTTGTGAGAAAACAATTTGTATATTAACCAATCTGGTACTCTTTCTTTTGAACCATAGGAACATTCAAACTGAAGAAATTCAACTTACAAAAAGAGGGTTATAACCTGGATGTTGTGAAGGACCCTTTGTATTATCTTGATGTGAAACTGGGAAAGTACATTCCATTTGACAAAGCCACCTATGATGAGATTTGCTCTGGAAAATCTCGTCTTTGATCAGTACTGCTAACAAAGAAATTTATGTTAATGACAAGTGCTTCTAATATTGCAAGAAACTACAGAAAAATAAAGATTTAAGAAATGCTTTAATTAACTATGAAAGCTTTATTATTATTATTCTGTAGAGCACTGGTTCCCAATCTGTTGTTGGCATACCATATAATAACTATAATTTACAAAACAAAATAAGTGCATAAAAATCACTTATGATATTAATGTTAACCACAGGCTTACCTTTCTATGTTTAAATGCAGTGGTGCACCTGTATTTTGTTAGCAAAATTCTGTAATCTTAGGTGTAATGTTCTTTAGCATTAGTCTTCAGGTTCATTCAGCTTCTATATTTGGACTTCAGGACCACAAGTGATAAAATTCCCATCTTTCACAGATACATAGTAGTAAATGACATCAGAAATAAACTGCAAGTTCTGGGTACTCTCCAGTTCTCTAAATCCAAAACTCTTTAAGTTGTGATCTTAATGTTTTGTTGCAAGAAAACTCCAATAAGCTTTCCTTCTTTCAGAGAAAAATCAATTGGCAGTTTATTGTTTTCCAATGCTTGAAAACTCCAAAGTAAGGAGTATATTTTTCCATTTTGATAAGAAAGTTATATAATGTAGAGTTTTAGACTTTTCATCTTAATCTATACATATTCTTCCTGTTAATATAGCTGAATGTTTAACGTCTCTGGTGTTGGGTTTACCCCTGAATATACAAACTTCTTTTTTTGTAATTATTAAACTTTTTATGCAAACCATCTGAAGTGAGCTCATGGACAACAGTTTGGGAATCTTTGCTCTAGAAGTTCTTTTTTGTTATAAATACATATGTATGTGATATTATTTGAAATAATGTATTGATATCTTTACAAATAAGAAAAAAATGTGTATTTCAGACACAGTTTCATGGTTTATTTAATTTCCAGTTGAAATTTATTTTAAATCATTGTCAAGGTTAGTGCTAGGAAAAAAATATTTGAAAGTATCTTAGATCAAGGAGCTATGAACTATACCACATAGTATAATTCTATTGTTTTTAACTACCCATCATTTATTCAGTTACTAAGAAATTCAGATTGTCAAATTTGTATGTTTGTTTTTAAGATGGTTGTAAACAAGCAATAATATAAATATTCTGATTTTTTGACATGCCTTCAACAAAATCTCTTACACTTTTTGTGTAGAATCTTTTTCATAAAATATTTTAGAGGCAGAGAAATTGTTTGATAAGGCATACCATTAATATGTTTAAGTATTACTATTATGTAATAAATGTGATGAATAATAGTGAAGTGGTCAGCATACTTTGCCTTTATAAAAGTAGCAGTAAGTCTTGCTACTTGGTTAAGAGCAGTTGTGCAGGTGCTACTAACTAGTTATTTCCGTCAACAGTTCTAAGTTAAAGATGTTCTTTAACCTGGCCATTTGGCTCTTCTTGCATAAAATATCATTCAATCAAATTAGCAAATCACATAATTTAATCTTTTATTTTACTTTTAATTTGTATTTTGGAATAAATGCTTTAATTGTGAAAGAGAGTAAATAAGTTCTGTACAATCAAAATGTTTTGTACTGAATGAATGAAAAATGTATACAAATTATGCCTAAGCTCATACAGTTTAAAAAAAAGTTACTATCTGTTATAAATCAACAATATGTATGTGTTAAGTAAATACTAACAACAACAACCTATTATTAACCTGTTGTTAAAAACAACAACCTATTTTTGTTTACATAAAATTTTTATTTGGGACTGATCTACAATGCTCTAACACATCATCTTCTGGACATTAAATGTTGAAACATAAAATATGTGGAGTGTAATGGTAACTGTAAATCAGTCCCAAATAAAAAGGTTTATTGCATGAACCAAAACAAGTTGTTCTTGTTAACGGTAGTTTTTATGATTTAATGCAAGTGTCCAAGAATGTCTAATTATATGTGTACAATTTTTAATTACACATGAACATGTATATCTTACTGTCAATTAGCTGTTTCTACAAAGAGTTTTTGTATTTTTTAAAATTTTATATTAATTTAGAATTATTTACCACAAACATGTTTCTCAAGAGTTATCTTTATGGTAGATTTTCTTTATAACTTATAATTAGAAGTTTAATTTATTCCTACATTAAACTCCAGAGATACTGTTATGTCTTGTATTGTTGAGTCTGATGAGAATCATTCATTAGTAAAGGCAGCACTGGACCATTCCTTTTCACAAGGTTCTAACGTGTATGTACTTAGTTTCTAGGTTGAAATTACAAAGCATATCGTGAGCTATACTTTTTTTAGAATATTGAAAAACTTGTAATATTTTTGGTGTGAAATGTAAAAGTTTAAATATTGTGGGAAAAACAATGAGGATTTAACCAATTTTAGTCTGTTTAAAAACAATAGCATTTAATCAAATAATTATATTCCATCAAAAAATCAAAATTAATGCACACTAAAAACTTTTTAAAGTGTAGTAACTAATTTTTTTGGCTATTAATTTTCAAATATTAATAAATGTAGTCTATCTCATTTAAATTGAAGCTGGTATACTTGCATATAATTCATGTAAAACCTGGATTATTATGATTGTATCACAGGGTATGTGTAAAGTTTCTATAACGACCACTAAGAAATTTTGTATAGATTGAGGTCTGATTTTGGCATTTCATGTTTACAGGATATGTTATGCTTTATTTTTGAAAATAATAAATTAGAATTATTTTTCATTACCTGCATGCTGTATTCATTATCAAAGTAATATCTTATAGTAATTCAATATGTGTATTTTTTATTATTAAATAAAATATATTTTTTATGTCATTATATATTTTATATATTTGTGTAGTTATTTTGCATATTTTAAAACTTAAACATTACTAATTGTTTTTCTAGTTAATTATTTTTCTTTGTTTTTTTGTATCAAATGTTTGTTTGTTTGAGGTTAAGCACAAAGCTACACAATGGGATATCTGTGCTCTGCCCACCACGAGTATCGAAACCCAGTTTCTAGCGTTGTAAGTCCGCAAACATACCGCTGTGCCGCCGAGGGGCTTTTGTATCAAACATTCATTCACAAAATGAGAAATTTCACTACAGTATTGCATTTTACCAAAACCTGTTAGAATAAAACATCACAACCATGGTGATAATTTGCTCAAATTAGGATATGAATTACTTTGTGAGAAATGAAGTTATAAATAATAACAAGAAATAAGAAAATACCATAATTTACTTATTAATTAAATGGGAATATACAGGTTACTATATCCTTAAATGGCAAAACCCAACACTGCATTATATAAAATTAAAAATACTAATGTCCTATGAACTTTGAGCTCATTCTGTCTTGAAAGTAAAGCATTCTTCAATAACTACAGCTCAACTACAGTGTATGTTTTCAAAAACCAAACCCAAATCATGTAACTTCATCAGTCAAAAAAATAAATCAATTCAAAATTATAAAAGGGGCAACCTACACTGTGAAGAATTAAAATAGGGTTAATACTAACAGAGTGGAAAAATGCAAAGCCTAAGAGGAAGTTGCTTCAAAAAGAACTTGCATATCTGGATTGAGTAGGTCATGAAAATGTGTTTGTTTATAAACTCTCCCTCCTCGTAACTACTATGAAACCAAAACTGGCAAGAAAATATGCTGTCTATTCTGAAATGTTACTGAGAGAAATTACCAAAATTGTCCATATCTTTTACACTATACACTAACTCTTTCACTACCAATGACACATGTCTCCATCTAGGACACTGTCATGCAAGTTTAGACTTTTTTTAACACCAGGAAGAAAGGCTATTTATCTATTTCCCTTCAAAATACCACAATTTACCAGTTTCGTGTGAGAAATGAAAGTTCTAAGCATCCGTCTTTTTGTTTGTTTTTATTTTACGTCTAAAAATTATACCTAGCACTGGGAGAGGTGTTTATCTACAAAGATGGCAGAAAAAGAATTTAGTAAGCAATATCAAATAGGCCAGTTTGGGGCAATGCTAGAATAGCTTGGTAGCAACACTAACACAGCAGTCTTTTAAGTTTCAGTTCAAAGTATTTGAAGATCTACTTTATGTAGTTTTAGAAATTTGGTAAGATATCACCTGGGTTATTTCTATACTTTTGGGGTACCTTCATGCATTTTTATATCACAACTACAAGCTGAAAAATGCAGTATCTCCTAATGGGAAAATATTTTTGGAACATCACATCAGAGCTACTTTTGGCAATTGGAGAAAACCATTTTACACAAAAATTATGTATAGTGCTTGAACTTGACACTATGAAGATTTACTTTTTCATTTGGGAATAAATGTTTTTAAACTTTGTACATCATACCACCTCTTAAGCCTACTTTTTGAATTTGTATTGACCAAGTCAATTTTTCATTCTGATGATATAAACACTTACATACACACTGCTTGTCTCAGTTACGCTGACTTCTATAATAAATAAACTTGTGAAACCTTTTACCCTTCACTCACTTATTACAGGTCTTTAGCACTTTTCTTGTTAAAAAGTTTATTCTTGTAGCTATCTATTGTTCTCGATGTTTTTTCTACAGTTTTTGTTATTCATTTAAAATTTAAGGACTTTATTTTAGGATTACTAATGATGAAAATCCAATAGATAATGATATGAATTAAGAACATTATATATACAACTGACATATGTCCCTGCTTATTGCAACATACAGTTACTGTATAAACTAAAGATTAGTTACATTAGAACACTGCCCCTTTTCCCATGAAATTGTACAGTAAAACAACATTATATCCATGCTGAAATTGGTGCTTGTCAATATTTATATCGTGTTTGTTGTGGAATGTTATCTATGGCACTTTGTGTTTCGGTTATGTTTCTTCTAGCAGGAAAGATTTATCATCTCATATCTTCTAACCAACTCATGTATAACTAGCTGGTTCAGCATACTACAGTTTCATTGCTTTATTATTTCATCAGCTGTGAAAAGCTGTTGTTCTGGTTTTTCTAAATCTCAGGATTTTAAATATTTCAATAAACAGCTCTAATTCAAAGATCAGTGCTTATTTAGAATGGGTATCTTGCTACTTAGTCACTTACCAGTGAGAGAAGGTTTAATGTTATAAGGCAGTGTTGTCCAACTGGTGATCTATGAACCATAACCAACTTCTAATATAATTATCTGTTCATAATATAAAAAATCAATATTGAATATTACTTCACTAATTTAAGTACTTGTGGAATGACGAAACCTGTATTTCAGTCAGACAAATAACTGGCTCTGAGGTGTCTTTGTTACTTGGTCCTTTCTTGACCAGAGGGTCATCACCCTGCTCTAAGTTTAGAAGATAGATAGGTTTAACTTTTTAGCCATGACATAGTGGCTCAAAGAATGGCCGAGTTTTTTTTGTTTTATCAAGTACAAACTTTTAGCTCATAGCTCCATCATCTCTTGACCAATTTGAGACCTAAT